TTACTTCCTCTTTTTCTATCTAGATTACTTTTAGTTTATTTTTCTCCTACTTTCCCTGGCTAGACCCTCCAGTACAAAGTTGACTAGAAGTAGAAAAAGTTGTTCCGTTCTTGATCTTAGCCCACCATGCCCTTTGCATAGATGCATTCCTGGCCCAGGTACCTTCATTCCTAGGTCTCTTTAAATGTGAGATTTTGGGTTAAGATCCTCTTCAGGCATCTCTGCTGAGATTGGGGTGGGGTGGGAAGAAGCGGAAACCTCAAAGACACTTTCCCCCGCTCTGACTCAGTACCCAATACTTTTCCACTCCAAGCTCTCCTCCCTCACCTAACCCATGACCTCAAAGTCCATAAAACTGAAAAGACTTTTGCTGAGGGCACCCTCAACAGTGAGCTAAACTCAACATCCTTCCTGATCCACCTGACCCTCAAAAGATGTGCCATTTCCTGGGGAAAAATGAAACAGGGGAGTTGGTGACTCCTCATTTTAGACTTTTGCTTATACCAACACAGTGATTAAAGGCTTAACTCTTCCATTTTTGTTTCATTGTTTTAATCAGCTAGTCCAACATCTGACAGCTCAGCTTTCTCTAGCCCAGCTGAGCTCCTAACAACCAGGTCCTGTTCAGTCAGTCTCCAAATCAGATCTTCCATACATCCACATTTCTCCAACTCCCTTGCTACCAACTAACCCAAGTCACCACTAATCCTGGCCCAGACTATGGTCCTAGCCTTATAACCGGCCTCCAGGAGTTCCCTGTTGCTCCCTCTAAACCATTTACTATAAAGGAATCAGAGTGAGCCTTAAACATTTTTAAGTCATCATCACTCCCCTGCTTAAAGCCCTTTTATGGTCTTTGGTTTTTTGCACTTAGAATTAGGTAAGTCCTTACCATCATGACACCCTGAATCATCTAGCCTCTGCATGAGCTAGCCTCTGTCTACCTCTTCAAAATGTCTTGTTCCTCTCTCCTTTGGTCACTGTACTCTTGCCACATTGTCTTTCTTAGATGGCAACAATCTCTCTCTCTCCTCAAAAGCTTCAGGTATTTGGCTAGTGACACGATGAGGGTTGGGGGAGCAGTCAGTCTGAATGTGGGAGTATTTTATCACTGCATTATCATAGAAGTCAATAGGAAACAGTACGCTGAGGAATGAAAGCAAGGTGAAGAGATATAGACAATTATTTTGTGAATTCTGTTTATGTAGAGGATGAGAGAAGTGTTTTCAGGAGGCAGAAATGCGAATGCTATTTGTGAGATGTTATTTTAAGACTTAAGATGTTATTTTTGAGATGTTATTTTAAGAACTGAACAGGGGTAACTGCTAATGGGAAGGACCCAGTGATGTGGTAATAGCCACTGGAATCACTTATAAGTCTTGTTAAAACAGATTGCTGGCTGCACTTCAAGAATTTTTGACACAGTGGTCTAGGGTGTGATTGATAATTTGTATTTCTAGCAACTCAAAGTGGACTCTGAGGCTGCTGGAATGGGAATCACACTTTGAGAACTACTGAGATGCAAGTTTGAGAAGATTGAAGGGAGGCTCTGGAGCCCTAGGTAGAAGGAACATCATCCTCCTGTATAGGAAGGATGAAAAAGGTAGGTATAGACCCAGGTAAGCTTAAAGGTTAGGGAGCGAACATTTGTCAAAACGTGCACTCTGAAGGACTCTTTTGTTATTACAAGGTAGGAATTGAGGTTATCTGATGAGAATCAGTAAGGAGAATGGAAGGTAAGGTTAGAAATTAGAGGAGAATAGAGAGATTGGTACAGTCATTGTGAGGTGTGAGAGATGCCGTATATTGGAGCAACATACAGCATTGCTGATCCATGTTGGGGGCTGAGGTGAGTTTGACAATCATACATTTATTGGTACCAGTCTACTGTGTTATGCCATTCAAGTTATTGACCACAATTATATTGACTGAGTAAGGGCCATCAGATAATTCCAAATGTTGGCATCCTAAAAATATCTCAAACTAACTAAAATGTGACTCTCCAGCTGTCACACAACAGACAGAGACCTAACTTGGCCTGGAATTGCCTCTAAACAAACCCAGAGAGATTCCTTTATATCATATTATTATTTTTATTATTATTATTTTGAATTGGAGTCTCACTGTATCACCCAGGCTGGAGGCAGTGGAACACTCACAACCACCCCAGTGTTGGCTTGCTGGCCTCAGGCGATCCTTCTGCTTCAGCCTTCCAACTAGCCAGAACTACAGGTGTGTGCTACCACGTCCAGCTAAATTTTTATTTACTGTGGATGCAAGGTCTCACCAAGTTGCCTGGGCTGGTCTTGAACCAGTGGGCTCAGACAATCCATTTGCATCAGTTTCCCAAAGTGCTGGGATTACAGGCTGAGCCACTGTGTCCAGCTACCATTATTATTCCTGAAGATGTTTTTATCACATCCTTCATTGCTAGTGTATTTGTGTATACATTTATTAGTACTAAGTTTACACTTTGCTCACTTACAATCAACTATTTTTTTTAATGCAGCTTCATTTTACACTGCTATTTTTAAAACTTTCATGTAAGAAAGATGAGAAATAAAAGTAGGAACCTTTGTTTTATTCCACTCATTCTTCTCTGTTCCATCCACTTGTTGACCCCCATGGAAGGAGCCATCAGCTTGCTCAGATTACAGGTTCTAACACATCATTTTAGGTTATACTGGCCACCAGTAGCCAAAAGTAACAAGAAAGGAAGAAAACTAGAACTTCTTGTAATTTAGCACTGTACAAATAAACATGCTCTCTGCTGGTTGTGGTAAAAGGTCAGGAGAGCTGGAATCTGGCAGGCTGTCAAGCAGAGGAAGCCTCTGAGCTGTGGGAAGCTGAACAAATAGATAGGCTGGGCAGTGAAAAGCCCTGAGTGTTGCTAACCTGGGATTCCACTGGGGAACTACAATTGGCTACAAGTGACAGAGGATAGTGATAGGGTTCTTCTCAATACCTTAAAGAGAATGTTGGAGTTAAAAGTCCCTAGCATAAGAGTCATGCAAAATATGAGTTAATATAATTAGTATTTGTTCATTTATTTGGTTTTAATAATGACATCTATTAAAGATGGAACTAGAAAGAGATGATGCAAATAATATGACATCGGGTTCAGGAATCTAAGGAGTGTGAGGATTACTTGCATATACACCATCCTATATATGTTCAGACTCAGATAAAGAAGGCTAGTGATCTACAGATATTAAATAATAAAATGCTTTCATGCTGGCTGGTGAAAAGCCACTTGTCCTGAACTCCTTTAGCGCCTCCTGCTTTCCCAGCCTTCCCTGCACCTCTGCCTTTACACTGCAGCAGCTAAGGGGTTAACACCAGCAGTGGGCCTCTGGAACTTCCAACCTCCATACCATTGCATTAATCAATAACCCTTACCATATTGGTCATTAAATGTCTTAATATCACCCCTGTATTTAGATGTACATTACATAGAATTAACTTCATATTGTGAATCGTATGACGAAGAATTATCTGCATCAGGATCACCTGAAACAGATGTCAAACACGCAGATGCTGGATTTCACATATCAGACCCACTGCATCTCTGGGAGAAGAGCCAGGATATGCATTTTTAACTATCTCCCGGGCAATTCCAGGGTATGGTATCAAATGTAGTGTGCATTTTCTGGCAAAAAACAAAAAAACAAAAAAAACCCATCTACCCTGTCTTCCATCTAGATACCATTCCTTGAAGGAAGGATTCTAAGTGCCCAAATCTGTGATATGCACCATCATACAGATGCCTAGCTTAGTGCTTGCTGACTGACGATAATGGGGGTGGGGATCACTGATTCAGAAGTATATACTGAAAAGATAAATGGGGTTTGATGATGATGGTGGTGGTGGCAATGGCTAACCTCTGTGAGTGCTTACTGTGTGCCAGGTCTATGAAAAGTGCCTTGGATGCCCCATCTAATTAAATTGCACAATGACCCTAATAGGGTCATTATCTACATTTCACAGCCAAGGAAACTGAGACTCAGGGAGCTGGAGAGATCTCCCCAAAATCTCCCTGTCGGGAGGAAGCAGAATTCCAATCTCAATCTGTCTGATTTCAAAACCAACACTTTCTTATTTGCTGAGCTATGCTGGCTCTTGGATTAGGAAACAGTTCTGTAGAAAATTTATAAATCAGATTCTCTGGAGTTAATTTCCTTAATTTGCTTTGGTTCTAAATTTATTTGTTGTATTTTCTGTATGTGGAAGGGAGGTAGGCATGGAATATGAAGAGATTATAAAAGCTATACAGAAATGAAGATAAAGGAAACTGAATGTGGAAAGTAGAGGCATATATAAATATTCCCTAATATTTAGGAAAAATTTGAAACTTTTTAGCTAAATTAAAATAAAGCACTCACTGAAAAAAAATGTTAGAACATTGCCGCTGTCACTGGACCTTGAAAATCAAACTAAGAAGGAGAAAAGATTTTGAGGTTATGCTAGAAAGTGCATAGTAAAGGAAGGGAGTCAAGAAGAGAACACACTGTCAAGAAATAATGAGGGCAACTTCAATTTTAGCAAAATCATCAAGGGGCCAGTTGATGCCTGGACTTGACAATGGGCAAGACAAGCAGCCTAGATGTGAAGAAATTAAGGCCGCTCATAAGAGGTAGTGGATTGAAAGGATAACCGGGCTTTATATGCAATCAGGTTTGTTTTGAAGTATCCTGCTAGGAAGCTGGGATTAATGAGATCACAGAGTATTATAATTTGATTTCGGTTAAAGCGTCCTTATGCACTGAGCTTAATGAAGAATGGCTAATTAACATCTTTTGAATGTAAGGAAAAAAAGAATATACATCAGAATTGTCTTTTCAAGGCAAAAACAAACCCCAAATCAAAATCTGGATTAATAGCCTCAGAGTGCTTATTCAGACTTCAATATATCAATCCTGGTGCTTTTCTTTAAATAAGATAACTTTCTAATCATCTTTGATTCATTCAGGATATATAGAGAAGACTAGATTTACTCTTACTTGGATCTGGGCAAAATCCCCACTTTTCATCTCTTTCATATCGGCTTGTTGTGGCACACCACAGTGAGTCATCTTCCCGACCTTCCCGGGTACATTCATGATGCCACCGACGGTTATACTGGAAGGGAAACATACATGGCATCCCGTGGGCATTGCCTTTGATTGTATACAAATCTAGGAGAAAGAAATGTACAAAGTCAAGTAAGTATGATGTTAGTGTTATCTTTGGAAAGTACCATATATTTAATGGATTTTTTTTTTTTGAATGAAACTCTCCTCGGGGCAGGTACTTGCTATACCGGAGTGAGCCCTCAGATCCTCACAGTCTAGAAATGCTAGATTGAGTGCTGGGCTCAGAAGAAGTGCTGATACCTGGTTTGCTTCTGTATGTATTTACTTGCTTAGTTACAAAGGAGAGCTGGTACAGTAATATTCATGTTTGTGGATGGATGAGAAGGAAAATTTAGTAAAGATTTTACTGCACAATATCCCATTCCCCAAACACATCAGCCATCAGCATCTAACGTTCAATAGTTCCATAGGTATTTATTAATCTTATTCATTCAATAAATAGTTATTGAGCATTTAATGTGCCCAGCCCTGGGGATATAGCAGTGAACAAATCAGCAAAAGTTCTTTCATGTGGGGCTTCAATTCTAGCCAGGACAAAGAGAAAGCAAATATATAAATAAACATATAATTCCAGGTAGTGCTATGAAGAAAAATAAAATAGGACAGAAAGGCAGAGTGACTGTGTGTGTGTGTGCACATATGTATGTGTGTGTGCATATGTGTGTGTGTGTGTGTGTGTGTGTGTGTGTGTGCATGTGAGAGAGAGAGAGAGATACGGTAAAGGTGCACCACTCTATTCTGGACACAGTGGGCAGTGTAAGGCCTCTCTAAATAAATAAAAAATGAGGTGAAATGAGGAGGCAAGTCTTTGGAAAAGAGTTGTTCTAATGGAAGAACAGCAAGTATAAAAGACTTGAGATGAGACGAGGTACTGGATGAATGAGAAAGAGCAAGCCCGCCTGATGGGGAGGAGACTCGGGGAAGTACTGGAGTGTCCGCTCACATAAGGCTTCCTCACTTTGGCCTTTGCTCTGAGGGTGGTAGGAAGTCTCTGGTGGGTTTCACATGGGAAAGTGACATGACCAGACTACCATTTTCAAAAAATCACTGGGCATGCAGAGGGGCAAACAGCCTACTGTGGTGAAGCAGTATGGCTGGCTGGGTGGCTTCTACAGTGGTCTAGAGAGAAATGACTATGCAGAGGTAGCCTGCTAGCTGCTTTTTCAGAGTGTTGCAGTACATTCAGTCATCCCTGGCCTTGAGTGGGAATCAACAAAAACTTCTGATGCCTCAACTGGGGCTTTCAATGGTAGATCCTAGGGCCAAAGGGCCAGCTGAAGTGATTCCTATCTCTTTCCCACAATTGGCAGGGGTTGGACTGAGCTCACAACACATTGCCAGCCTTAGCAGTTAGGGCTGCTTAGGTGTTCAGGACACACCCTTTTGTTTCAATACTCTGCCTTCTACTCAGAAGTAGTTGCCTAGAGTCTCTCCCTGCATAATGCACCATGAGTGTGGACAGATGGCTAAAAGTTAACATAAAGCAAAATATCAAGTTCTTCCTTAGAACTGTAGATTATTTGGAGTGCTGGTTTGCAGAACTTGCTTTATTGTGGAGTCCTCAAAATGTCTTGCTCTTGGCTCTTTTTCTACTCATGCCTTCTAGATACAGGAGAAGGAGCAGCCTTGAACAGCTTTAGGAGTTCCTTGCTCTGCGTCCTAAGATTGATATACAGTTCTTCGGAGGACACACTCATGTAAGGCATAATTCTACAGAGCACTACGAGGGGAAGGACCAGACCACATCTGTCTCGTTGTCCTTTGTGAATCGAGTGCCAGGCACTGTGTCTGATGAATAGCCAGTGCTCGATAAGTATGTGATGGATGGATAGATAGATAGATGGATAGGTGGGTGGATGGATGGACGGGTGAATGAATGGATAGATGGATGGAGAAAGCTACCAAATCAGCCCTGAGGGACAGGTTTGCAGTTTCAGAATGAAACTGTGACTTTCTTTCATTGTCTGTTTTTTTTTCCTGCTCAAATACATCCAAAACAAAGGAGCTATGGAAAATGAAAGTTCCCCTATAAACCTCCTTGTGAACTATGCTTGGCACACACCAAATAACTCCTGACAACAGCCTGTCATTTATCTTCAAGTAACGTGAGCACCACATGGATGCCAACCAGGCATTGGGTGGCATTGAAGTGCCCCGCAGATATACTTCAATAGGTGGGACTGAGTTTTTAAAATAAGAGAAATGGTGGTAGGAGACATTACCATATTTGTCCTAACAAAAATCCTTACTTCAAAGACCTCTTCCTTCTACCTTCCTTTCCTCTCTGCCTCCTGTCTGCTTGTTCTTTCTCCCCCTTTTCATTGATTCCCAGTTAGTTAAATGTTTCTCCCCCAATACCTTTACATTCTGAGAAGTTCTGCTTCTTTAGCAGAATTTAGCACATCCTTTCCAAGACTCTTGTAACCCTTTTACCAGAAGCAAGGAAGCAACTAAAATATATTTACCAGAAGTAAAGTACTTCTTTCACGTAATGCTTCACAAATCTTTACTTATGGGCAAACTTTTACAATATATCATTCTGTGAGTACTTTGATTTAAATTATTTTTACCTTTGTGCAGATATTCACAAATGTCTCCACCACCTGACATATAAGAAATCCATTTATGAAGATATTTCCGAGAGGCCACAACCGTGGTGTTGTGTTTCACCTGGACCATGTACTGCAGGGGGCCTGTGATCATCCTCCTGGCACAGTGCCACCTCAAGGAAACGTAGGTGGAATCACATTCATATAAGCTTAATGGTTGCTCTGGATTGGATAAGTTCAGGCCCAGGCAACTGCTGCCTCCTAGGTTAAAGAGGTGGTAGTTTGAAACCCATTTCCACAGCATGTACTTGTCTGGTTGCTTGCAGTTCTCCAGGGTCAGTGTAGATTTACCTGCTTGAATGCATTTCTTGAGGCTCTCACTTTGGATAACAAATATTCCTTTATCTGAAACAGAAAATTAAAAGATGTGGCATAATGTTTTCATATATATAAAATTAGTGTTGTGAGGATCCAGTGTGCATATTTAAACTGTGATACGCCACAACTGCCAGTCATTTTGTACAGATCTGGAGTTGATGGGCAGGGTCCACCTGAAGGGCTTTATTTGCACAAAACAGAGGAGTTTTGTCGGGAAGCATAAAAAGTCTTACAGGAGCTACTGGAGACTGATCTAAGATCCCACTGGCTATTTAGGAACAAGTGCTACCTGCTAATCCACTCAAGTCTGTTGCTGACAGAGAAGGTGTTCGCCCCAACTGGATAGACAGCAGGGATTGATAATAATACCTGGGGCTAGCAGGAAAGAACATTGGGCACTCAGGGGTATGGTGACACTGGCTTTCTTCAGACAAATGACTGAATGTTAGGGACATGACAGCTGAATCAACAGCCACTGAAATGCAAATCTCTACTATCAAGTTCCTGTAGAAAACCAAAGGATGTAAGTGAAATGCCACTTTATGTCCTGAGACAGGATTCAATGCTGTGTAGGGGAGGGGTCAGAAAACAATGCCTCTCCACACTTGTTTTCTGTGCTGGTTCTGTCAGGAGTGAAGTGGGGACATTTTGCTATGGGGACAGACTCAATAGGAGTAGCCTTGTTGGGTAAGACAGACAGATGCCCAGGCTACTAGTTAAGGTTCCACACCTAGATATGCAAGAGGTGATGGAGCATCAAGACAGCGGTGGAAACCAGAGACCACATGGACATGTGGAGAAAACAGGCATTTTGTGATTCACCCCTGAGCTTCCTCTCTGGAGTAGGAAGTAGGGATCTGGATGAGTTTCCTGTGAAACTCTGGCTGGCTCCAGTCAGGAAATGTGCGTTAGCTACTAGCCTGCTACCTGACTTCACCTCAAGTTCCTGGCCCAGAAGGCACGTATTTCACAACAGCTAAAATTTTGTTTTCTCACCAGGTTTTTGAAGATGAAAATCATGTCTCATTTCTTTGGTCTAAGCACAGAGTATCCTGAGCACATTATAGAAGTTCAGTAAGTGCTTGATATGGATTAAATATGCTGGTAGCTGCTGCTTAGGCCATGGTTGCTGGGGTTACCTCAGTTCAGAATGTCTGGTCAGGTCCAAGAGCTTTTCTGTTCTCCCATTAGCTAGACTCTCCTCTTTTATTTTATTTCCTGTCTATTCTTCAAAACTTGGAAGAGATGTTATCAGATTCCCTTAAGTTGGCTGGGGTTTGGGCAGGTTGTGTCATGTGGCAGGACAGAACAGGAACAGGCAGAGGTCCTCAAGAGGTTTGAAGCAGTGCAGCATGGGCCTCCTGACATATCTGTGTGAGGGAACAATGTTCCATTTTGGTAAAAGTTCTTTTGTTTTATCCAAAGTTAATCAAGCTGAAAAGAACCGATTTGTAATAACCAAAATCTCCAAAAGGTTTGGAGCAGTGCAGTATGGGACTCCTTTACAAATCTATGTGAGAGAACAATGCTGCATTTTGGTTAAAGTTCTTTTGGTTTATCCAAAGTTAATAAAGTTGAAGAGAACTGATTGACAGTAACCAAAATCACTTAAGATACTGTTAAAAAATATTGTCAATGTATTAATAAAAGCTATATCTTACTTAATAATTGATAACCTTACTTACAGCCATATATTTGAAGAATTGAATTACTTGTCAGAAAACTGCTTTGATCACCATACATCAGAGCAAAAGAGAAGAGAATGGGGTGTGTAGAAAATGAATGGTTTCAGGGAGATTTCATTTAGATCAGGAAATTTGTTTTCCTAATGAAGGCCATGTCTGTATGGTTATTAGTAATAGTCATTCAAAATCAAATCCACCTCTCACCAATGCGATATGGACTGATAATTAACCTTCTCTCTAACTCTCCTTTCCACCTCTTCATGCCTGGCTAGAATGTTAACCTTAATTTTTATTGTAACCTACTAATTACTTCCTAGGTAGCCCAGAGTTCCATTAATTATTCATTAAAGGATAATTATATTACTGGAACGGTTTTGTAGTGCAGCTTCTTCTTAATATATGTGTTCAAATATATCCAGCTCTGCAACATGCTGACTGGGCCTCAGTTTATAAGCCTAAGAAAAGTGTGCAGATGACCTGACTAGTGGTTGAGAGCTCTGGCATCAGCTGGACCCCTCACAGACCAGCTGTATGACTTTGGGCAGGCTGCATAACCTCTGTGAGCCTATCTTTCCTCTCTGAACTAGGAATGCATATGGCACCGGCCTCTAGGGTTGTTAGGGATAGTCCATTAAATAACCCATGCAAAACACACCCCACGTTACCATGAAAAGGGGGAACAACTCAGTAAGCAGGAGTTGTTATTATTGCTATTATTATCCTTTTGTCTTCCTGGTTCTTGGTCTATAGATCCAGCTATCAATCTGGTTGAACAATGTATAGTGCTAATCTGAGCATCCCTCAAAGACCTCTCTTCTTCCATCATTAGCTTATTTTTATTTTAGTTTCTGCAGCACACAGTGTGTGCAGAGCTTTAAAACTATCCTGAGACACCATGCTATCACTTTAAAGGAGGAAAAATACTCTCCAGACAACCAGATAACAAAATCCTGTCTCCTTTGTTCAAATATATGTACAATTATAAATTAGGAATCTTTGTCTATTCATCTTCTACATTACCTATCTGTAAAGTCTATCCTGCAGCTCTTTTTTTTCCATGCCAGAATACTTCAGGAAGCAGCCTTGGATGAGTTCTTCAGAATAGACCATAAACAAGTAGCCGTGGCTCACCAATAACAATAAACGTGCTACCTCCAAATATATTAAGTTAAAAAATGACTCAAGCCCTTTTTCCCATTAAGTTATAATAGGATCTGATCCTAGCACTGTTAATCTCCATAAATTCACTGAAGAGAAAAACGATTATTTTCAAATAGACTGTGAGGAGACATAATATAGGTATCAATATTCTGATTGTTATTATATGCACATAATGTCTCTAACAAAACTATAATGTGAAAATAAGCCACCAATCCTTAATGTGTGTAGTTGTTGGATTTAAGAAAGGATGAAAATCAAATGTGGGAGGAATCAAGATTGATTATATATGTCAAGGACATCAGTTCTGCTTGAACACTGATTAAGTGATTAATGAAGTACTGCCAGAATTACTAAATGTCTTTGCAGAAAAATGTTATTATACTTCCCTTCATAATTACAAGTTTAGGAGGAGAAAAAGAATTGATTTACTAGAAGAAACTTACAAGCTAATTTCCATCCTTTTTTAAAAAATAAGACTCATAGGAGACAGTGGTTCTACTTTCTACTTCTGAATTACTTTTAGGAGGAGATCATTTCAGATCCACCCTTTGGTCCCATAAGATTGCTTGTACTTTTCTAAGGAGTGGGAGGAGAATGTTTCCTTGATCAACTGTTTAACTTAAGTTTAGGTATTCGCTCATGACTGCATATGGAACACTCATTCATTCATTCATTCATTCAACAAGCACTAATTGGGTACTAGCTACCAGGTAGGTAGATGCTAGAGACACAGATAGGAATTAGTCCTCTAAATATCTCTCCTATAAAACTATATCTGTTTGTTCTAGAATCATGGGAATTTGCCAAGTTGATGAAAAGAAGGGAGTTCCATCAGTTCCAAAGAAAACGTTATAACTGCATTCAAAATAAGCCCTTACAGGCAAGTGATAATAAGCAACAGAAAAAAATAAACCATAATTTAAGACGCTTGACTGGCTTTTCAACTGATAGCACACAAGAAGCGGGCAGGACTCCTCAGTGTCCTTGGCTTTCTGAGTGGAGCACGTGGGCGCTCCATTTTTCAGGAAGGGCAAGGTAGAAGAGCACTGGAAGAAATATGGGTGTGGCAGAGAAGACTTTGCCAATATACACAGAACCATGGACTTTATGGCTGAATGAGACTGTAAAGATTATTTAGTTGAACTATTTTTAACCTTTTTTTACCCAAATTCATTTTGTCTTAGAAGTTTTATACCCAGGGCAACCCCTTTAGTTCCCCTCCCACTGTGGGCGTTTTTCTGTCCTCTCAATAAATCCTGCTTTCTAAAAAAAAAGAAGAAGTTGTTTTATACCCAAACACTCAGTGAGGACCATATTCAATCTAGGTGTACCTTTATTTACAAACATTCATTTATAACCTAGAAAGAGGAAAATGAACTGCTATCGGTTGTTGCCAAACATTTTGAATTAGCTGACTTGAAATTTCAAACAACAAACTGAGTACTTAATACGGCATGTGTTGGGGATGGAAGGATATATGTGTCATAGTGCTTTTCCCTCAAGGAACTCACAGTCTCCTTGGGAATCACTGAAATTTACAGAACTAATTATAGCTTAATGCCAACATAGATTTTGACATAAGCGATGTAAGTACAATGGGGTGGAAGCCAGAGGTAGGAGAGGTCAATTTGGCCTAGAAGATCAGAGAAATCAACCAATACCCTCTTTTCTTCCTCCTGCTCTTATATTTTCATTGAACAAACATTTATTAGAAACCTAATATTTGTAACAATGGGGGTAATTGGTGAAAAAGAAAGGCATGAATACTTGCCCTTATCATAGAGTGTTAGGGTAAGCAGGGTAGCAGACGAGGTATATTCTGAACAGAGAGAATGTCACCAAAGCTCAGAGATGAGAGAAATAATCACCCTGGAGGAGTTCTCATCTAGGTGAGTTGCAACAGTACATAAATGGACCTGAAGAAAAGTCTGGAGACTATTGCTATGGTCCAGCAGGAAAGTCTGAAGGTATCAATTCAGTGGTGATATGAAAAGAAAAGAGGGACTGGTTAGACTCAACCAACACTAGTCAATGGAGAGGAACTTTCAAAGATGAAATGATAGGACTCGGGGAGTTAGGGAATGTGAGGATTCTAGAAAGGTAGATGCAATGGCTGGTTTTCTGGCTTCAGGTATTCAAGTGGCTGTCAGACACCTGCTAATTCCTGCTGTGCCATGAGGT